CTGGACACTGTATGTTAGGTATAGAAATAAAACTGACTATGAACAGAGTCCTAACTTTAAACTGGCTTGTGACTTCCTTTAGGATTCTGATTATGTCAGGTGGGAAAGTCAGAATCAGGATGAAACCTATGTTTTTGAAGAATTCATCTCTTTTTAAAATTTATTAGATAAAAAAATCCAAAATATTATTAATGGGAAATAAAAAGGGTAACTCATATTTTTCCCAATAAACATCTGTATAAAGTTTGTTTGATTAAAAGCAAGATATAAAAAAACAAAACAAAAAAGCCGGGTGTTGGTGGCGCATGCCTTTAATCCCAGCACTTGGGAGGCAGAGGCAGATGGATCTCTGTGAGTTCGAGGCGAGCCTGGGCTCCAGAGCGAGTGCCAGGATAGGCTCCAAAGCTACACAGAGAAACCCTGTCTCGGGGGAAAAAAAAAAAAAAAAGCAAGATATAGGTCAGGGAATGAAGCTGTGTGGTACATGTGATAGGCTCAGTCCCTAGAGTACGGGGAAAGGCACACACACACACACACACACACACACACACACACACACACACACACATCCCTCCACCCCTATCATGGGCTAAGAGAACACAAATCTTTTCATGTCCTTCACTCATACTAGGACAGTTATTGGCTCCCATTCCCCTCAGATAGACTCCAGACCCTGGAAAAGACAAGCAAGATCACCCTGTTATCGATTGGCCAGGCTTACCTCCCAGACACAGCCCGTCTCGCCCTTCTCTCTGACAGCAGCTACTCACTGTCTATACTTCTCCCCGGCCTCTCCTTGGCACTGCTTCCTGCTTCCTGCTCCATGGTGTGGCCTCTTCTTGCCTGCCCTGATTTCATTTCTGTTGCTGGAATGAACTACCTTGACCAAAAAACAGCATATGGGGAGAAGAGGTTCATTTTGGTTCTCAGTTCCACGTTATGGCCTATCGTTGCTGGGAAATTCAAGGCAGGAGTTTGAAGCAGCCAGACACATTACATCCACCATCAAGAGCAGACAAAGAATAGACCCATGCTCACTTACTTGTGCTCAGCTCCCTCCCTATTTATTCTGTCTAGGACCCAAACCTAAGAACTGTTACCATCCACATTCAGGGTGTGTCTCCCCCTAATGACCACATTTAGGAAAAGCCTGGGGCAGATATGCCCATTGGGCAACCTGATTATGTTAGTTACTTTTCTGTTGCTGTGATTAAAATACCATGATGGGTGCTGGAGGGATGGCTCAGTGGTCAAGAGCACTGGCTGCTCTTTTAGATGACCTGGGTTCAATTCCTAGTACCCACATGACATCTCACAACTGTCTGTAACTCCAGTTACAGGGGATCTGACACCCTCGCACAGACATGCATGTAGGCAAAACATCAATGCACACAGAATAGAGACAAATTATTTTTTTAAAGTTAAAAATCCTACCATGATCCAGGCAAGTTATAGAAGAGTTTGCTCAAGCCTATGGCTCCAGAGGCGTAAGAGACCATCATGGCAGGGAATCTTGGCAGCAGGGGGCAGACGTGGCGGCAGAAACAGCTCCCATCTCAAACAGCAAGCAGCAAGCAGCAAGCAACAAGCAGAGGAATGAACTGGAAATAACATGAGAAAATTATGCTCTCAAAGCCCACCTCCAGGACATAAATCCGTATCTCCTGACCCTCCCAAACAGCACCACCAGCTGGGGACCAAGTGTTCAAATATCTGAGCCTGTGGGGGGAAAATCCCATCTAAACCACTGCCCCTATCAAGGAAATCCCTCATTAACACTTCCTTCCCAGATGGCTGTACATTTCGTCAAAAGTAACCATCATTGTTAGAAGTAACCATCATACCACCATACGGCCCTTTTGTACAACTCCTCATGCATTTTTGGAGGGCTATGCTCTCGATTCTACAACTGTGAGTTTCTCTAAGTTCCAAACCTCTCTCCCACGTTGTCCTACTTGCCTTTCTGCTGTTGAGGGCAAGATGTTTGCCCTCCTCCATCTCAGTGCCCACCACAGTCACTCGGATGCTGATACACACAGGAGGGAACGTCAGGAGCCTCTGGAATAACAATGTTACCCCATGCTGATAGTAAATATGTCCTGCTTCAGGGTCTTCTTTGGCTTGGTGCCTACAGCCACCAGCCTAGGCCAGCTGTAACTTAGCCACATGCCAAGGCATTGCAGCACAGGCTGCTGGCCACTGTGTTTTGGGTTACTTCCGTAAATGGGTCACTGCTTCTGCTCAGCTCTGACTACTTCTGTTTGTCTTTCTTTAGAAGACACCTGGGAGTC